TGGAAGAGACAGGAAGGGAATGGGACTGAGAGCAAACAGAGGAGTTTGGCCTTAGAACAAAGGGACTCAGACCTCTGCAAATGAGTCTCTGTTCTTGTCATTTCCTCTAACTCATATTCATGCCTTACATTTATTTGCACAGTGTGCAATCAAAAGTCCACAGCTGTCCTCACAGCTGCTCTCAAGTTAGATCCTTCTTCATTATCACCATATACTGACCACGTGCCAGGTAATTTATGTTAACTCATGAGAAGGGTACAATTCTCATTCCCATCTTCCAGAGGAGGAAACCGAGGTAAAAGATATAATTCACTTGACTAATCACCCAGCTGTAAGTGGGAGAGCCGTGTTGGATGCCAGACAGTCCAATTCTAGAACCTGTGCTCCGCTGTGCTGCTTCCTGAAACTTCAAAGAGTTGAAAATGTTTGCCTCTAGAGAGTAGGAATAGAGAGTGGGGAGCTGCCCACGGCAGGGGTCTGCTCTATTTTTTTATAAGCCTTGTAGTACTGTTTGACTTTTTACTAGAGTAGGTGCTCTCTGAACCAACCATTACTTGACTGAGGGGTAAAATCCACTGAGCTTGGCATGCTCCCTGCTCTCCTTAATTCTCTTCACACTTAGGTATGAATTGTTTGACCACTTGACCAACCACATGTCCAGAGCATTTAAAATGTTCATTTTAAAATAAGAAAACAAACTTGTACAAAGGAGCTTGCATTTTTTTTTATGATAAAAAGTCCCACTAGTTAAAAGCAAAAACAGCCGAAACCGGTTTGGCTCAGTGGATGGAGCATCAGCCTTCGGACTGAAGGGTCCCGGGTTCGATTCCGGTCAAGGCATGTGCCTTGGTTGTGGGCACATCCCCAGTGGGAGATGTGCAGGAGGCAGCTGATCGATGTTTCTAAATCTCTATCTCCCTCCCTTCCTCTCTGTGAAAAATCAATAAAATATATTTTTTTTAAAAAATAAAATAAAGAAAAGCAAAAACAACCGACAGCAATGCTGAGGGGATGACTCAGCCTTCTCAGTGATGGTGAGGTCACTGGCTAGAAGGGACATGGTGAAAATAAGGGCTTAATCCCTTCAATCCATCGCCCACTCAGCAGCCAATAACTTTTTCAGGATCCCTCCAGCCTAATCACACTCCCTTCCTTGATGTGCCATCCCCTCAGGACAGAGTCCAGACATCTTAGGAGGCTTATAAGACTTTATGACCTGGCCCCATTTACCTCTCCGGACTAACGGGCTATCACCATCCTATATCCTTACCAGTCCTTCAACAACCACACAGATCTACAATTGTACTCTTTGCCTTCCTGGGCACTTGCACCAGCCAGAACTGTGTTTTCCCTTCCCCTTCTTCATCTGGCTAGTTTCCAGTCCTCACCTTTAGGCTCATGAGTTCAGATGTTGCTGCCTTCAGGAAGTCTTCCTTGGATTTCCATTCCTAGGTTATGAGCCTCTCCTTGGTGTTTCCATAGCACCCACCCAGCACTTTCCCACTAACGCACTTGCTAAGCTCTTAACCACTATTCAAGCCCCTGTGTCTTCCCCTCCCACACTGACTGTGGGCTGATCCTGTGAATTGCTTTAATCCAGAGTGCAGAAGTGAAGCTGTGCAGGTTCCAGACCTAAGCTTTAGGGAGCCTGGCAGCTTCCACTTTTGTACTTTTAGGAAGTTCTGAGCCACTGTTTTGGAAGCTCAGCTACCCAGCTGGAGAGGCCACGTGGAACATGGCAGAGGCTCAGCCTTTCCAACGTCCCAGGCGAGCCTTCATATAACTCCAGCCTCAGCTGCTGCCTGACAGCAGTCTCATGAGAGGCCCCCAGTGAGACCAGCAGAATTGCCAGCTGAGTCCAGTCAATTCACAGAACTGTGCAAGATAATGACTGTTTAAAGCCACAAAATTTTGGAGTTTGTTATGCTGCAATAACTAAAACACCATTCTGTATTTTAATTGTCTACTGAGTTTGCTTGCCCTGCTAGACTATTTTCTCTGTGAGGGCAGGGACTACACTCATTTTTTTTTAAAAAATTGTTGTATACTCAGGACACTCTCCAGCACGCAATCAGCTCTGATATTGGATTAGTGCAAATTAAGAATGTCTGCCAAAACAAATGTCTAGAACCCTCACTGTGGTGGGTACACAATGGCATCAACAAAAGATAGTTAAGTGGACATCTGAGTAGTATGTTCACTTACCTTTGTAGAGGGATTGAGTCAAATTGACTTTGGGCCACAAGCCAACACAGAGCAATCTTGGGAGAAGAGAATGGCTGATGGGTTGGCCTGAAGTTCAGGCAAAACTAAAGGCCAGGGTACAAAGCTGCCGTCCTTGATGGTGCTCCTCTGGGCCACACTCCACAGGTGATCTGGTGTGTCAGCGAGGACTCCAGCAGCTCTAGCCATCCACCCTCAAACAGGTGGTCTGTTAGTGTTCTCAGACTTCTAGGGACACGAGATGTCATCAGGCCATTTTACATATGGGAACAGACACCTTATCTTCAAAAAACTTCAACTAGCCTCAAACACGGAGGACCCTCAATGATAGTATATGTGGAGTGAATACATTTACGCTAGAATCAATAAATCCGATGGTTGGGGGCTGGTGTTCTATGTCTGTAATCATAGCAGTGCAAGGTGTCAAGTCAACAGGCATTGTTTGAACATCTTCTGTGGACAGTTTATGTCAAGCCCAATATGGGACACAAAATGGGAAAATGCCATCTCTGCCCTGAGGGAGAGAACTGGAGAGACTAGACTTACACAAATGAGGTAAATAACAGGGCAACATGTAATTACTGGTAAATTGTGTGGTAAGAAATTAAGTGCTAGAGAAACTGGGAAAAGTGGAGAGCAGTGAGGGCTCCAATAGTTGGGGAGTTGTCACTGACGCGCTAGATGTGGCTGAACCTTGAAGAATAAAATAAACTACAAGACAGGCTGAGTGGAAAAAGAATGTGGAAGTCCCAGGAGGAACAGAGCCGAACCAGTATGCATATTTTATTTTGAGGCAGCAACACAAGGTATATGAAAAGTGGTTGCCCCAAATCCCAAAGCAAGGATATTTCTGAATAGTTCCCTAATATTCACATGTCTGAGTCTATTTATTGTTTCTTCTGCTTGCAATGCCTTTCTCCACCTGGCAAACTCTTTTTAAAAAAATATATTTTTATTCATTTCAGAGAGGAAGGTAGAGGGAGATAGAAACATCAATGATGAGAATCATTGATTGGCTGGCAAACTCTTATAGTTAAAGGCCTAGCTCAAATGCAACTGCTTTTCAGAATCTTTTCCTGGTATCCCATAACCCAGTGGAAAATATCTATTTTTCACTATTGGAAAATATCTACTTATTTTGCCTACTCACCTCCCCCAGTACAATTAAGAGCAACTTACACTTAAGAGGCTCTTACTGTGTGCCAGGAACTATGCTAAACACCTTAAACGTACTATTTTACTTAAGCCTCACAATTGCGTAAGACAGTATTTTTCCTATTTTATAGATGAAGAATCTGAGGCTTAAAGTGGTTAAGTAAACTGCCCAAGAACACATAGCTAGGAGGCAAGAAAGCTGGAATTCAAACCATTTGTGGAACTCCAGAGGCCACACTTAAAACAACAGACCATGTGTTCCTGGAGGCCACAAACGCTCTTTACTGTCTTCTGATTCTAGGATGGTGGCTGACATATGGCTCAAAAATTGAACATATGAATATATCAGCCTGGTTGTATTAATTGCCTGTGTCTAAAAGTAGGTACCCCCCAGTACTCTTTTACCCCAGGTCAAAACTTCCACCTACCCAGACGTCAGGCACCTGGGGAAAAAGAGGAGGAAATCTACACACCTTATATTTGAATTTGAGCTGCTTTATTTTATGGATTCAAGTGCAGTGGAAGAGGAACCACGCTTTTCCCAACAAAAGAACACACATCAGTGGCACTGGCTGGGTCTGAAGATGAGGGCTCTGATTAGTAACAGGTGTTTGTATAGCGGGGCAGGGGGTTCTCTCTTAGGTATTTTATTTTTTAAATATACTTTTATTGATTTCAGAGAGGAAGGAAGAGGGGAGAGATAGAAGCATCAATGATGAGAGAGAATCATTGACCGGCTGCCTCCTGCACGCCCCCTACTGGGGATCGAGCGGGCAACCCTGGCACGTGCCCTAGACCAGAATCGAACCGGGACCCTTCAGTCCGCAGGCGGACGCTCTATCCGCTGAGCCAAACCAGCTAGGTCTCTCTTAGGTGTTTTAAAAACAGCAACTCAAGTTGTTCCTGCTAAACCAGTTAGGGCCAGACCACTCTTTCTGACCCTCTCATTACGAAGGCTGGTGCCCAGACAGTGGAGGGGGTTGGCCAGAGGCCACACGGTGAAACAAAAGCCGAGCCAGAGCCGGTACCCCGGAATCGGGGCCTGCCTGTGCAGTTCTTCACCGCCTACCCCGTCGGCCCGGCCCGCCTCTCCAGGCCGAGGGCCTTGGACGGGGAGCCTGGACTACAGGCTTCCTACCCGAGACCCTAAGGCTCTTCTCCGCCCAATGGGTCTCGTTACTCCCACCTCCTCCAGCATCGCGGCCGGAGGAAGGCTGTTCCCCTTTCGCGTCTCTACGTGTTTTGCAAGAGCCTCTGGCGCCACCGAGGCCGCTCTAGTCCCGCTTCTCGGGCGGCTCAGCTTTGCCAGCTGCGAGCACCCGCCTCCGCGTTCTCCCCTGGCTCGTGCCAGCACAGCCCACGTGGCCGTGCCCTTGCCGCACTTCACCTCCGGCTACCCACAACCCGCCTACACCCCACTTCCGTTCGCCGAGCACCGTCCTTCCGGCCAGGCCCCTTTCTCATTGGCCGGCTGGGAGCTTCCTGGGG